AGTACCTGATACGAGCATAAGGTTAAAACATGTCTAATATCATTTCAATAATAACGCTCGAAAGCGTCACAGCTAGACAAAAAAGAAAAACTGTACTTAAAAATAAACGGATGTGAACACAATCTCCTTGACCGAATCCTTACAAAATGCAAGTCACGGACCATGGCACCCCAGAAAACCTTGCTTAAAAAGACCCACTGAATCGCCACGAAATCAAGTGCTTTAACATAGGCGTGTCATCTCTATGTATATAAGATCTCTATGGATTCCAGTTTACCCCTACAAGAGATGCCACATTTTCCTCTTAGTGTCCAAAGTTTGAATCATATGCTATAGTTCGTTTTTTTTTTTTCAAAAGGACGCTGGCTCCAAGTTCCTTATCGAAGCTCTCACGTGAGTTTTGGCAGCTTCAGCGTCTGGCCAAGAATTTCTTACCGAAAAAATATTCGATTTCAAATTGTGCACGGTAAGTACCTGAAAATTGTGTCTTGAAAAATTAGCATACTATGATGACATCACTGGTGGCAGCAGGCACTCAATGCCCGTACGATGGGACAAAGTTTCGACGAATTTGGGGGAAACTTCGTTTTTCACTGTTGCCGAGGTTATAAATTATAATCGAGTAAGCGGTTTCGTCCATAATAGTTATACGCTACATTGCAAAACAATTTCGACAGCATGACGTCACCACTGTTCTCAAATCTGGTTCCAAAACGCACGGATGGAAATTATCGGGAATAATTCACATGTTAAAATAAGGCGACGTTCGAGTTTCTCAAGTTCAGTTTTTGCTCGTTTTGCTCGCTAAAACGCGTGCTTTTTCGAAAAACATACTTGGAGCCAGAGTCCTTTTGAAAAAAAAAACGAACTATAATATTTTTTTTTGGTGCAAAACCAAAAATACCGGCATGCTACCGGCAAGACATGCCAGATACCACAAAAAAACCTGCGGTAGTGAAAAATTACCGGCATGCCGGTAATGCGGTAGGGAAACTTTGCAACTCTAGGTCGTACCCCCCCCCCCTTGCACAGTGATGCAAATGGGGTTCACGAGTGGCCATAAATACCCAAAAGTCAAGTTTACCAAATCGAGTTAATTGCGATATGGCCGAGTAGACAAATGTTTGGGGCATCTGAAATCACATGGTTTTCATGTTTTTGTCAAAATCGGCCTCGTGTATAATCGTCAGAAGTCGTGACATTTTCTAGGTCGTAAAATGACGGTCAGACACTCGCAAGTTCAAACGCCGCTGGTTTGCGTTCATTTCGTACGAATTGAAAAAATTATGCATGGGAATGATCCCCAGAGCCTTCTGCTTCTAATGCCGGGTCACAAAAGCCGTATCTCATTCGCTTTGGCGGTAATCTGACTATTTATCATCATGTTGCAATCGCAGTTTTTTACTGAGAAAAAAAATGCTTTCGTTTCACTTACAGCACTTAACACAGTGTGTGCCCGTTAGTCCACCATACCATAGCCTTTCCTAATCATTTCTGAGTCGCATCGTGAAAGAATTAAGGCGTTAGCACAGGGCTGACCGGCGCTACAGAGGTTTTTGTCCGGGCGGTCGGGTGCCGCAGTGGGCGCGCAGTGGGCGGGTGGGTGCCGCCGCGCGGCGTCCGGGCGGCGCGGCGGCGCGGCCGCTCGGGCCGCCCGCTGCGACGCGGCACCCGACCGTGCCGGACGAAAGCTTCTGTAGCGCCGGTCAGCCCTGTGCTAGCGCCTTAATTCTTTCACTATGCGACTCAGAAATGATTAAGGAATGCTATGATATGATGCACTAACGGGCACACACTGTGTGAAGTGCTGTAGGTGAATTGAAAGCAAATATTTTTGGTAAAAAACTGCGGTTGCAACATGATTACAAATAGTTAGCTCACCGCCAAACCAAAATAGATACGGCTTTTTATGACGTGGCATTAGAAGCAGCAGGTTTCGGGGATCATTTTCATGTATAATTTTTGCAGTTTGTATGACATGAACGCACGCTAGCGGCACTTGAATTTCAAGTACCTGACAGTCATTTTACGACATGGAAAATGTCTCGACTTCTGACAATCATACACGAGGCCGGTTTTGACAAAAACATTAAAATCATACTTTTTCAGACACCCCAAACATTTGCCTGACTGACCATATTACGATTTATTCGATTAAGTGTACTTGAATTTTGGGCCTTTTTCGTATTTATGGCCACTCGTGAACCCCATTTGCATCACTGTGCTACGCGACGTCGAACTTCTGGCTGGACGGTCACCGGTGTGCGGCAAGAGTAGCTCCTAATCGTAATGAAGCAGGCTCCCATTCTGGGTGATCGTAAGCTCAGCCTGGTGGTCTGTCTCTGGGGACGGGAAAGACTAGTGTGGGCTACCAGAGGCCGACGTGGGCGCAGACGCTGGCATTGGCCATCAGAGCTCGGCACCTGACGCTCATAAGCCGGCTGGGCCCTATAGAAACCGATGTGGTTCGTAAAAAATATATGCGTTCGTAATAAATTGCTTAGATAAGGCCAATGTTCAGGTCATTCGAGGGCATCAATTGTCCATTTCGCTCGATTATTCTAACAAATATTTGATTTCGACGTTTTAACTCTACCTTGCACGAATAGAGGAGCAGAAGCGCATACAAATAAGTGATGGCTCCCTTATAGCCATAACGGGAGCAAGATTCGTAGATAAACGGGAATAAGTCGCTACATTTGAACTCATGCGACGAACAGTAGGTAAAGCATTCATGAGAGGCTGAAATCGTAAACAAATGACCGGCTGTAGCGATGGGTCGGATTGTCTACTATTTCTATTTATTTAGTGTTAACCCGCGCCCCAGTGGCGGTCTCAGCCAACTTCGCCCTAGTGGGGGGGGGGGGGGGCATATGTTACCACCCACCTCTAACTCAAAAACTAAGAGGGCTAGAAAGACGCAGTAAAAAGCAGTCGATAGCTCTCAATGCGTACGTTTTAAAGTATTTCGGTCATTTTTCATCTTAGAGCAAAATTGGGGTCACTGGAGGTCATCAAAGGTCATAATTTGCCGAATGTCATCATATTTGTCAGAAAACATGCATTTATCTCAGGAAGTATGATAGCTAGAAAAACGCATTGAAACGCAATCGATAGCTCTTAAACTCTTCTTTCGATAAGATAACCATCAAAATTGACCTCAGATCAACGGTTTAGCCTCCAGAGGGCAAAAACTCCAAAAATAGCTGTTTTTCGAAAAGTGTTTTTCGACAATAACTTTTGACTGAAAAAGGTTACGACATTTCCATTGCCCGAATCGTGTTCCTCTCGCCGAGACGCATCGAATGAACTATAATTTGACCTTGAAAGGTCAACTTGAAAATTTGACCTCAGGTCAAGGTCATGACCTGACCGGAAAAGGTCATGTTGCATATCAGTCGATGCGTCTCGGCAAGACAAACACAATGAGACCATCCCCAGCGTCCTATCTCTTTCCAATCGAGAGTTATTGGCAAAAATCTGTTTGTAGCCTCTAATGACCTCGGATGACCTTTCTAGAGGCTATCAGCAAAAAAGACACCATGGTCGTCACGGGTGGTCCAAATCATTGTGATTCTGAAGTAGTTGGACTGTTCCTATGCGTACACACGGATTTAGAGGCATTTTCATTTTTCTCCATTGACTTACCTATAATGGTAAGGTCACGCCACTGGCCTGACCTTAGGTCACGGATATAAAAAATCCGAGATATACAAATTATAGGCGCCCATACCATCATGCAATCCACCAAGTTTCAAAACTTTCTGACAAACACTGCAGGCTGGAGAGGATTGCAAACTTTTTTAGGCTTGGTCAGTTAACTTGACCTGGTGACCTGACCTGACATGACCTGGGGTCAAAAATGTCACACATTGTCCAAAATTGATGTACAAAAAGCTACCCCAAGCGGCGCGGCGCTACGCGCAGCGGTTTTTTATTTACACGCGAAAAACGCGACAGGGTGGTAACATATGCCCCCCCCCCCCACCTGGGGCGAAGGTTAAAAAAAGTTTATCAGGTTTCAGGGCTGTGCTGAAAAATAAGCGGTCTAAATCCGGTGAGAAAACAGGATTTGGGGGTACCCTAGGTTTGGGTCCTTAACCCACGAGCCGCTGGGGGGGGGGGGCATAAAGTTGCCCCCCCTTTACGTTTTGTGAAATATCTCCGAAACCTGATGAGCTACGAACGTGAAACTTGGCATAGCTTCAAATGAATACCTCGGCAATGTTTGAGGAAAGTTTGGTGGTTGTAGCACCTAAGATGACGTCACAGTGACGTCATAAAGTTTTGTCGTTTTCCGATATGGACCGTTTCTGATGACGCTGAGCATGAAACTCAACTGTAAATGAACTAGACAGCACCTGCTGTCATCCTAAAACATCTAACTACACTTCCATCTAGTTTCTGACCAATAATCAACCCTTTATATTCGGTCCCATATATCTGATGTATCATGAGAAATATGAGAGTCGCAAATCTATAATTTCACTTATGACGTCACTGTGACGTCATTTCAAATGGGATCGACACCAAATTTGAACACAACCTCGGCTAGGTATTCAGGAAGATGTGTGCAAAGTTTCGCTTCTCTATCTCTTCGCGTTGCGACGATATCGTCGCAGAAGTAAAGGGGGGCAACTATATGCCCCCCCCCCCCCAGCGGCCGGCGGGTGGCGCGGAGGCCCAGCGGCCGCCGGGTTAAGTCTCTGCCCCCCCCCCCCCCAGTGAAAATCTCCATAGTTAGACGAGGCCCTGCCGGCGAGGGTTAAAACAAAGTTCTAATACAAAGACGAGCTAAGACTGTCGACTGGTAAGCACCCTACCCTGAGTTTCTCGAATTGCTGGTATGGAAACTACTTTGCAAAGGTAATTTATTGACATAATAATAACATTCAGTTCACGAAAAAAAGAATCCCAATGTACGTCAATGAGGCCAGAGTAGGTATCAGAAACAAAAGCACCAAAGCAATATAAGGCTCCAAATATAAGACTCCAGTAAAATAATAACATTCCCAAAAATGGTCGATGTCAAATCACTCGCAAACGCAGACGGACAGCCGACGTGCGTTGTTTGCAGCGGCCACGCTCACGCCAAAAACTCAACGTTGGCTGAGAAACCCTTGTACCATCCGTAATTACCCGACTTGAACTTGACTATGAACTGGTTGCCCGTAGAGGTGAAGCTCTTTCCCTTGAGTTCTGTATCGCAAGCCACCTTATCGTCGGAATGAGCGTCGCCCGAGTAGCGAAGAGCCACGTAGTCCCAGTAGCAAACATTATCGACGCTATACAACATCTTCATGTCAGTGAACGTGACCTTAACACGCTGTCCGGTGGGTGCTTTGATAACCCACCAGCATACCACGTTAGTCGGGAAGTTGCTGGGGTAGTTGGGTGTGGTGATGGTGCCCGACTGTGTCATGTCGATGTTCCCGCAGTCGACCCCCGGGTAGTAGCTGCCGTTGAGCGTCTCGCAGTTGGCGCCGGAGGTGTTGGGCGGACAGACGCAAGTGCAGCTCTTGCCGACGAAGCCGCCGTTCTGGCAGGTGGGTGGGCTGGAGCAGCTACCGGCGCAGTTGTACATGGCGTTGACGAGCTGCTTGTCGCGGTGTGACAGACCACCCTCCCGTCCAATCAGACCTTGCTGGAGGAAGTTGTTGACGCGAATAGTTTCCTTCCCGTTTTTGGAGAAATATCTGCTCCCGTAATGCATGATTGAAGTTAGATCGTACGGTACGGAGTAGTTGTTCGGTGTGGACCGCTTCCCGAAGTTGCCCTCCTTTCCATCCTGGATATTCTCGAAGAGGATTGTGACGTAGTTGTCACGGTCGTGGCGCGCCTGCTGGTGCCGCAATCCCAGGGCGTGGCCGAACTCGTGGACCACCGTGCCCAGGCCGGTGCAGCCGTCGCCGATGCTCAGATCCTGGCCCCCGGAGCTGGTGCTCTTACCAATGTACGACCAGCAGCCGGCGGCCTTGATGACGTTGATGTGCGGCACGCTGGAGCCCTCGGCCACCTCGTTGAACTCGACGCAGGTGTGGTCCCGCCAGTGCTGGATTCCGGCCAGGATGGCGGTCCGGTCGGCGGACGAATTGGAGCTGATGGCGAAGCTGACGGGGCTGGTCCAGAGGTTGGTGGCCGCCTGACGGCCGTCGCGCTGCTCGGCCGTCAGAACTATGTCCGATTCGAACAGCTCACGGCCGTCTTCGGTCACAGACGGGTTCAGGTCCTCGAAACGCCTGTGGGTGGGAATCTTGGGCAGGCGAGACTCGAGCTGAGCCGAGGGTTTCCCGTATCCTGATCTTGGTGCAGGACTGGGAGTAATCCATTGGTCCTGAGGCCGATGGGCCTTCGGCGCGGCGGTCGCCAGCGTCAGTAGAGCGTACGACAGGATACCCTTCATGGCTGTTTCGGACTTGAGTCGTCGAGCTCTGTATTGGCTTTGCTCAGCGGCGGCCCTTTTTATTGTCGCCATTTGAACGCGTTGTCATCGTCGTCCCAGACAGGGCACCGCCCACTCCGTCTAGCCGCCAATTGGTGCACACCTGAGGTCGAGCCCCCTGCTCAAGTGTTTGATGACATTTGCAAAACCTTTGCAGGAAGATGAATTGTTGCCCTGCTTGAAAGTTTGTTCGAGCTACTTTAGCACCATGCTGTCATCATCAAACTCTTGCGCGTCGTCCTCTTTTACCAAACCATGACCGGGCGTGGTCAGATGAAAGCAAACTTGGTGCTGTTTTCCGTAACGGTCGGGAAAGACCGCCTTCAGTCATCGTAATTCACTCATTCGTTAGTTCCCACAGGCGGATCCAAGGGGGGGGGGGGAGGAACAATCGGGCAAAGTCAGGACTAGAGGCGGCCAAAATGTGATTTGTCCGCCCCTTCCAAATAGAAAAGTCTCCTCTGGACCGCAATTTACAAAAGATGATGACCTGCATGCAAGATAAATCAATAAAACCTCATTTTCAATTCCCATTGGTAAAAGTATATGAAAATCGGAAAAATTTTATCAATGATAATCCTCGAAGGAGAGACATTTGGCCTGAGACAAAATGCTTCTCTCATGATTTTTTTGCGCTCTTTTGAATGTTGAATGTCGAATGAATGTCTTGGGAATGTTACGATGGGACAATAGCCCTGGCATGGATTAAACTTAAGCCTTTGATTTTTTTGCGGGAGGGGGATAGGTACCTACATCCCGGAAACCAATATAGAGCACCAAAAAGTGGCCGGTTTTGGTCCCTCCCTTTGAAAATGGCTGGATCTGACGCTGCTAATTTCCCTATTTTGGCTGATGCTTATTCGGATTAGGGCTACTGTTTATCCTTTTGGTGCCTCTGATGACAGCAGTGTCAGCTTGATACAAAACATTTTTGTTTCAAAGTGCATCGTTTTTTATCAGTTTTTCGCATTTGCTTTCGAATTTGTGCGTGCAATGTGCAGATTAACTTTGCTGGTATGTATGTAATGTATGCATCATGAAGATTGTTTTTGTAAATGACCGTCTAGGACCGTCGGAACTAACATCCGTGTGTCGTATGGGCGTGCGAATGTGTTAGTACTTAGTACTCAAGACGTCTGATCAATGTTCAATAATGGTCCAATCTAATTATCATAGTGCCTATCGAGACATTGAACCCCTTCCGACCCATATCTTTCGAGAAAATGATACACAGTTAATAAACGGTGGAATTGTCGAGCGCTGGCGCCTAGGCCTAAGTTCGCCATTCCTTCTTTGACGCTCGTGCATTCTCACGATATACGTGTATACCATCGTGCTTTGTGGAACCTCTTTGGCTGGGAACTGGGAACACCCAATCCAGGGCTATCAGATAGTTAGGTACTCGTATGCATATGTTACTGTTCGGCTTGCCGAATGTCGCAAGCTTCAACTGATGATACATATATGTATGCGTCAAGGCGTCAAGAAGCAAAGCTTTATTACATCGATCAACGATCGCATAATACAATGCGAGTACATTTTTTCACAAACAGGAGCTACGAAGCATTATAAGCATACACTAATGCATATACGTAACTACATTGTACTCAACCGCCTATCGGTCATTCCGTACCTACGAACTTCGCTGCCTTCTTTATCGCCGCCGGGTTTAACTTCCCTCACCAACGTTTTTTTTTCTCGCGAAATCGAAAAATGCAGTACTGTTTTATGCTTTTGCTTTTCTATAGATAGGTATCATTTTGTATGTTGCATCAACTTAAATTTCAAGCACTAACGCTTGGCAGAGGTACCGGAACTCATGACAGTAGCATTCGACCTTTACCACGCATAGAATTATCATTAATGAGATCGACTTTCGGTTTCAATGAAGTTCTTTTTTTTTGTTGAAAACTGTGTGTTTGTCGAGTCGATGCACACATATGTAGTTTTATCAAATTTATCATGTTTGTCAAATGCCTTGGGACAGACTATACTTATCAAGTATGCTCTAAACCACTGAAAGAACACTCAGCACTATGCATGACAGTTCTTGGAACATCGACATTCGACATATTCATCTTCTAAAGCAGCATCAAAGCTAAAGAAAATCGCGGCAGTGTTATCTGAGTAAGTACACAAAATAAGGCACATGGAACAACGAATTCGTCGCATATATCGCACACGGCACCCCAGGCACACACGGTCTCAGCAGACCATGCAGCAGCCGCAGTCACCGATACAGAGACTCGACTCGAAGAACATGAAGTCGATGAGGAAGGCGGCGCCGAGCAGCGTGGCCTTCACGTCCACCTCCAGGTCCTCCGGGAAAACGATACCGTAGCGGTCCGAGTCGGTGAACAGCTCGCGCGCCAGGCCCGACCACGTCTTGGTGATGAAGCCGAGCTCCTCGCCGTCGTCGGCCGAGAGCACGCTGAAGTCGGAGCCGCAGCAGGCGGCCCAGCGGAGCGCCGGGCCGCGCACGTGCAGCGCCTCGGAGCCGTCCGGCCGGCAGACGACCAGCAGCGGCCGCAGCAGGGACCAGCGCTGGCGCACGGTGCCCAGCAGCCGGCCCTGGGCGCTCACCTCCAGCTCCTGCTGCCAACACGGGTAGCAGCAGTTCTGGCAGCGCAGCGGCCGCCGCAGGTGCAGCACCTCGTGCCGGTTGCTGCTGTCCTGGGACGGGCACGGCATACTCTGGTTAGTTACAACGGCTGGCAGCAACGAGGCCAGAGCCCAGACAGGCAACTCGCCGAGGCCACGTAGTTAAATGAAACCATTGACGGACGCAATGTGATCAACTGTAAACATGATACTTTGGACCCGAAAACATACGCCACTCATGTGTCATTTCTGCATACCACATAGCCAAAGCAACACACATTTCAGAGGTCATACCGGTTAGGTTGAAAATATATATTTAGAAATGACAGGGGTAAACTAAACATACTTCAAAGTTTGCCCCATTCCTCCCATCCCATGATGAAAAGGCTGGACAGAGGTATACTGGGCTGCCTTACCATGACCCGTATGTTGAAGGCGCGGAGGTAGCTACAGCATGTTGGCAGAGCGCCGGAACTGTCTTCCACAGCAAAGTAGACGTGCTGACCGGCACCGTTTTTCACTGTGTACTTGTTGGCTGTTTCGACGCCGACTATGGCCTCTGCAAGCTCCACCTTCTGCGATACGATCAGCGTGTCGGTACAGACGAGGTACTCGAGGCCGGGAGGAACGTTCGAGCCACCGCCGGCTGCCGACTCCGGCTGCTCTGTCACCGCTGACATGACCTGACACAGAGACGGGCAGGTGACCTGACCTGGGCTACACGGACAGGTGCCCTGACCTGAGCGAGACGAGCAGATACCTGGCCTGACCGAGAAAGGCGGGTGACTTAGTCTGACCGAGACGGGGCAGGTGACCTGACCGGACCGAGACAGGTATAGGTGATCTGGCCCGACTGAGACGGGACGGGTGACTTGACTCGAGCTAGACGGAGCAGACACACACCAGAGGCTCGTAAAGTTGCTCACAAGGTTCAAAGATCAGTAAAACAGATCACTATGATCACTCAGATCAGCTGGACCACCCTCACCAGTCTGTGACGCTGACACAACACACACTGCGGTTTGGCTGGTGACTCCAAAAGGCCTGAGAGGCCATCAAGGTTCGCTGGTGGCCCCAAGAGTGAGAACGATGATCCCGGCAGTTGAGGTAGGCGACTAATGGTCCGACTAGCCGATTAATACACTGATGACTGGCGTCGGTGCTTCTTGAGATTCGTAGACGACTGGGGCGGCGATTAACGTTGAGATTAGCCAGAGGCCGCGCCTGAAAAGAAACAAACAGACTTGGAATAGTTCGAGCTGCTGCTCGTGAAGTTACCACTCACCGCATACACCAATCGCACTGTTTTCCCACATAATAACAGTGCTTAACCAAATTAGCGACGATTAGCGAATTTAGTGATGAATGTTTAAGTTGGAAGATTTAAGAGCACGCACCTACTCACACATTATTAGATATATCATGCAAACCCATACGGTATTTCAGAGAATGGAGCCCCTAAACATTGTTCCACTCTAGCAGAAGGACTCTGCCAGCCATGAACCGTGTCGCCGACGGCACATACCCGGAGCGGTTGATACGAGGGGGGGGGGGGGGGAGCGGCCGGTCCCTGACCCAGATCACTGTTCACACACAGTGCGCACGACGCACGTGTTTGCATACATACCAGATCGTCCACTCTCCCCAGCTGGCGTGTGGAGGGTGTCTTGAGGTAGTGCATGGGGTATATAGCGTGCAGGGAGGTATCGAAACATAAAACTGACTACAATAAAAATATGATTAAATTATCACATGTAGACATTCATGCTGATCTCCCAGCATACATGCATGCGGCTGCGGGGATATAGCATCTTAGCTGAAGGAGCGAAAGAATCTCAACCATTAATTACGCTATAAAATGTCACTAACGAGTAACGATTGCAGTAAGTTGTATCGGCAATTTTTGATGACATGCTTCAGGCTCCGACTCGCCGCCTGCCTTTCAGATATCATCGGTCGCACCTAAATAGGGTGGTAAGCTTTTGCTTACGTCTCTGCCGCTGCCCATGAATTTCTGCACCTGGGTTCTACATAGGTCGTGTTTATCACAGTTTGGTCTCTGTTTACGCAAATTGTAAATGAGCTCCCGAAGGAGAGCGAAATGGTTCTGGTAGTCTGTTGTATCAGTGAGACTGCGCGGCACATGACGTCAGCAGCTCCGAGGTCAAGTGACACAGGGTTTGACATTATTTGATATATCAGACTGAGACCTTGACGGATGATTTCCTCGTCGGAAGTCGACCTGACCCCGTGAGGCGACATTCAATCCTATCAGATGTTAGCTGGATGCCTTCAACCAGTCACGGCGACACAATCTTTACGTCAGTTATATCCTCCCCTCAGCTGCCTCCTTCCCACACCCAGTAGAGTCTAAATACCACTCATAATAAACGTTGGAATTCGTTGGAAAACAAACATTTGATGGCAAATAGAATGTGGTGCGAAGCTCCGTGTGAACGATTGCATGAATGCATTTATTCACTCGCACACCCTCGCCCAAAATGATTACCGGTCACAGGTGTATGAGCCAGGCGCGGATACAAGGGGGGGGCCATGGGGGCCATGGCCCCCCCCTTGGCCGATTTTTTTCAAAAATAAAATAAAAAGTTAAAAAGCTGAAAAGGGGGCCTCCTGAAAATAAAGTGGCCGAAATCCGATGAGTTTTTTTTTTAACCTACCCACTTAGTTATTTCTTAGAAGACTAGCTGAGAAGACTTCTTTGTTAGAAGATTGGTAAAGCTTTTCATAACTTGGAGGTCTCTTATACTCACAGAGATGACCACTTTTACAGGGCCTCCTAACCTGCATAGAGGGCCTCCAAGCCTGCACAGATGTCCTAACAAACACAAAATCTCTTAGCCTACACAGAGGCCTCCACTCGCATCCGAACAAAGGGCCTCCTAGCCAACACAGAGGGCCTCCTAACTCACACAGAAGGTCTCCTATCCTGCACAGAGGGACTCCAAGCCTGCACAGATATCCTCTTCGCCAACACAGGACCTCTTAATCTCCACAGAGGGCCTCCACTCGCATCCACACAAAGGGTCTCCAAGTCTGTACTGAGGGCCTGCGCTCGCATCTGCACAGAGGGCCTCCTAGCTATCACAGAGGGCTTCCTAGTTCACATACAAGGCCTCCTAGCAGGGGCGGATCCAGGGGGGCGATAGGGACTATAGCGCCCCCCGGGCGACTTTCTCATTTTCTTTTTTTTTTGCAAAAAAAGCATGATAGGGGGCCCCCAAAAATAAAGTGGACGAAATCCAGGCTTAAACTTTTGGGGGTAGGTAGGGCCCCCATCGATGGGGGGCCCCCGATTCGGAATAGCCCCTCCTTTGGCAAAATGCTGGATCCGCCCCTGGTATGAGCCCTGATTTAGACACCGTGGCTAGTCACTGCACTTCCTGTTCGCACCCTGGTTCGTGCTTTATCAAATATCAATTCACTAAAGTCGTGTCTTATCACTGACTACTGAAACAGCAAAGCCAGCGGACTGACATGTGGCTTCCTTACTAAATCGTATACTTCCGACCACCTGGCGACAGCACTTCTGCGTGATGATTCAGACGAATCACCTCCTGCACTTATGTTTAACCTGCTGATCATTATCGAGTAATTAACCCGCGCACCGACGGGGGAGGGCGGATATCCGCCCCCCTGAGGTTTTTCGCGAATAGCGGGAAAACCGCGGCGCGTAGCGCCGCGAAATTTGGTATGACTATAGCCTCATCAATTTTACACATGGTGTGCAAGTTTGAATCTCCTACCTTTTAAGGTCAGGTCACCAGGTCACTTTGAATGACCCAACCTCAAGTCACTTTTTTGCAACTTTGTCACCGTGCCAGAGCTACAGTAGATGTTGGAGGCCTTTGAAATTCGCAGGATATTATAAGGTCATTAGTAGCTACAATTTTTATATCTCGGAATTTTGATATCGGTGACCTAAGGTCAGGTCAATTTCGCGACCTCCCCATTATAAGTCAATGGGGGAAAAATCAACTCCCTGTTTTTACCACTAAAACGGGTCGGAATGGCCCCATATACCATACATGACTTCATATACGATCAACCTTCACTACCTTGAGGTCTGTTTTGCTGTTGGGCAGCTGTGAGGTCATGTGACGTCATCAAAGGTCACCAAAGGTTTTTGGCCAATAACTCCGTACAGGAACAAGATACAGACGCATGGATGGTCTCATTGTGTTCAGCTCGTCAAGACGCATCGAATGATATACATGATGACCTCGAGGTCACGTGACCTGAGGTCAACCTTTGACCTTGACCTTTCGAGGTCAACATATATATCATTCGATGCGGATTGACGAGAGGATCACGATGATGCCCTTAGTTTGTTCCTATCTTGACTAATTTGAAAGTTATTCGAGAAAAAACTCTCTCCATATCTAGCGCCGCCATTTTGACTTTTTCGACCCCTGTGACGTCATCTTTGACCTGACCTGAAAATGACCTTAGTAAAAATTGTAGATCTTGGCCGTGCGTATCCGATGCCGTTTACCGCTTGTCGCTATCTTGCTTCGTTCTCGAGATCTCAGGGGGGGCGGTCATCCGCCCCCCCCCCCCGTCGGTGCGAAGTTGGCGCAGACCCCCGTCGGTGCGCGGGTTAAGTATAAAATCACTAGATTCGTTTTGACCAAGGAGAACTGTGTGGCATCCATCAATATAACTTGATTCTTATACATACATCATCAACACAGTACAAATCCAGTCATCGGCAAATGACTAGATAATTAGATATATGACCGCATGGTTCTAACGAACGGTCACCGTGACATTATGTGACTCGTCACACGGTCCAGTCCACTGTCGAGTATTTACAACTTCGTCTGTACTTACACCGAAACTACCTGACCAGGCATCTCGAACTTTACCTACGTAAACTCCAACACAACCTTAACCCGCGCCCCGCTGGAGGGGGGGGGGAGAATCTGCCCCCTCCAGTTTTTCGCCAATAACTTCTAAATGCGTTACGCCAACGATGTCAAACTTTCATTACCTTATCATACATCAATTGGACACGTTCCCTGAAAATTGGAACGAAATCCGTCGCAAAATTTTTGAGAAAATGACGTTTTAGTGACGTCATGTCCGCCATGTTCGCCTCAAAAACGGCAAAATTTCAAACGCCACTAACATTTTCATTTTTAAGGGAATCAAGACGTAACAAAAAGGTAAGGTACACGTGATTTTACTTCGTCTACCAAATGGTTATCTTGGTTTGTTGAAAATTTTGGATTTTGGCACAATTTTTTTTTTCTAAAAAAACTGACTTTTTCGGGAGAATGATGATAAAATCCAAAATTTTGAGTGTATAAAAAAAAACGGAATAAATGTCAGAGTAATGGTCTATGTGCACCCACATACCAATTTTTAGAAGAATAGGTTCAAAAATGTGGGAGTTATTCAAAATTTTATGACGTCACGACAAACAAAATTTTTGAAAAATAATATGTTGAAGTTCTAGACCTCGTACGGAAACAAAAATAGCACCATTCGATTCGCCGTGAAAAACTGCATCAGATAGACACATTTTTAGACCTTCACAACCAACTTCAAAATTTGACCTCACTTGACCTGAACTTGACCTAACCTCGACCTGAAATTCATCCAGATGTGGTCCATATCACTTATTGAGTGTGCCTATTGAATTCTATGAATAAAATGACCCATAAAACATATGTCGCACATGCCCTTTTCTATATTTCGTTTTTGGTGACCTGACCTGACCTGACCTTGACCTTGACATTTTCATGGCATTGTATGCAACGAATATTGTCTTGGTAGCCTAAGAACACGTTTTGGGCAATCAGTTTCAGTCCATTCTTCGGCAACTACAGTGCAAGGCCGATACTGTAGAAACTTGCATTTTGTACCTTTGACCTGACCTTGACCTGACCTCTGACCTACTTAAGCAAAAACAAATTGGCCTCTTTAGATCTGCCTTGTTGAGAGCTTTCAATTGCCGTTTTCCTCGTCTTTCTACGACCATCGGTTCCGAGGTTAGACGGGGGGGGGGGGCGGAAGGGTGCCCTTACCTGACCTGACCTCTATATGCAATATGCATGTACTGTAATCATATATCAATGATCTGAGCTGACACTGGCATAATCTCTAACAAAGCTGACGGCACTTCCGGTCTATCCGAACGTTTTGCTGGGTGGTCGCCAGTCGCCACCTGACACTGGCATGTGAGGAGCCGGGAGGCCTCATCGCTGATCTGGCGGGATCAAAGTCGAGAAGTGTGAAATGGCCCCACCTGGCTTACCGACCGGCAGCGCTATTCTCATTTCACATGTCAATTGTCATTCTCACCCGTCCGAGCAGAGAAACTCACATCACAGCTGTAGTCGAAGTTCCTTCATCCTATCTCTTTAGGTATAAAAATAGAATAGTTATACTAAAGCTAACTCACCTCAAGCCGCCTTCGCTAGTAAGAGTCCCAACACCTCAGCAGTCTGTCCCAGGAGACGCTGCACTGACCACTGACGACTGACCACTACACACTGACTACTACCCACTGCACACTGCACACACCACGTGGACCGGCGTCGGGCGTACTATTCACTGCCGCGTCCGGCGCCGCCCCTTCCTTCCTACCGGCGCAGCGGGGTGACGCTGCCTGCTAACCGTTCCCGGTTCCAGGCAGGGGCGACTTGGTCTGCACCGCAGCCGGCCCGGGCCGAGCTGACAGGCGGACGGCGCACCCGTCTCTGACGCGGACCGACGTCTGCTCAAGGCCACCCGGACCCCGGACCCCCTCCCCCTTCGCCAGGGGCGCTGGATGCTGCAACGCGCGCACCCGTAACAAGCACCCTCGGGCAGCCGGTGCATCCGGGCGATGCTTGTTGAGAAACGCCTTTACACTGGAGGGTGTTTGGTTGGCTGCGTTGAACAGGATGTGTGTAAGGAAGGAACGCGCCGATGACGTAATGATTCTAAAATAGGACACGCGATCCGGGCCAGCCGATGACCCCGCAGAGGTGCGCAGCCTGCACCCAGCCTGCTCTTCACTTCGGCGCAATCTTGATAGCACTACTCGCCACTTGCATGAACATCAGCAGCAGCGCATGTATTGACATGCCAGTTTACTTGCTGGCATCACTGTCAGCCTGACATAAAAGGCACATGGGTCAAAAATCGGCAAAGGACAGCATCAAGTCGCTTCTGCAGCTTTTCTAGCCAAGAGCATACGCGAATGATTCGTTTCTGATTTTCAACTTTCAATGAATGTTATCTGAAATTCATTGTAATGGCCACACAGTTAATAACCTAATAGCACAGTTTGTACTGCCGAAACTTCAAACACAAACTTCAAACACTTCGGCGTTCGCTTATCAGTCGTTTTGTCCTCAAGCTGTACATTTTATATCGTTTGGTTGCCTTAGTCAAGGAGGAAATGCTTCGTTCCCTTGACAGATCAATACAGGTTAGATGAATGCTAAGCGTCACTAAGGCGGCCTCCTCACTCTCTGTTCGAAGCAGCTGTTCTAAATGCTCATAGATTTAACAAATCTCATCCATTTAAAAAAAGAAGTTTGTACTGCTAAATATTGTTCACCGTGCTAATTATTACAAAAATAGGAGTGCCTTCCGAACAGATCACGCTATTCAGTCATTTACGTTAGCTGTTAGCTTGATGTTTTCCATTATGAGCCAAAATCGTTCAAAGTTTCTGTGACTTATAAATTTCCTAGACGTTTTAACATAAATGTATAGTAGGTATGGGAGGAAGGGTCCCACTGGGTAAAGTTAACATTTTGAAACGAGGCCGGTTAGAAAAAAACGTTTTCTTTCAGTAGTTCATATGAAACTAAATTCGCTCTTCACTTTGTAAATCTCGGAAACGGTGTATATCGATGTTGAAAAATAAGGGTGTCATAACTGCCGGCAAACAAATAACTAGCCGCAAATGGTGGCGAAATGCCGAACGGTTCGTCTGGCTCAGCCACCAGCAACAGAGTCGTCATCGTCGGATGCTGCTGCAGACGACGATGGGTCACAGGAGGTTGGATCGCTGCGGAACATCGTCGGTCAGCAGCGGCAGCAGCAGGTGGCACTGTTCCGTGCGGAGACAGCTCGTCTGCGGCACACCAATGCGGACCTGCAACGACTGAGCCGGCTGCGCGAGACCGCTGAGGTCAAGCACCCGCCGCCCTGGTCCCCCGAGCTGGTCGGCTGCGAGAAGCTGCTCACGGACGAGGTCGCGTGGCGCGAGTACGAGAGGCGCTACCTGATGGTGGCTCCTCCCGTCCAGCTGCCGCCGCCGCAGGAGGTCGACATCGGCCGGCTGACGGCCAGACTGACTGGCGAGCAGCCGATGCTGCCCACCCCAGACCGCACCTGCGCACAGGGCTTCTTCCCGCCGGCAGGCCGCACCCGTCTGGCCTATAACGAGCCGCGTCTGCGGTCCTTGGTGCCCGGCTGCCGGCTGCCGAACACCGTCATCATCCGTCTGCTGTGGTCCACTCGCACGCTGCTCGATGTCGAGTACTACCGGGCCATGGAGAACCGGCGCATGCGGCGCCGCCAGCACTGGGAGTACTTCGAGTGGAGCGACTCGGATGAGCTCGAGGAGGAAGCGCATCCGCAGGACTCTGCCCAGTATATGACTCACCTGGAGAATGTGGCCATTCGTCGGAGAAACAAGCTCAAGATATCGATGGTGGACCACGATCACGTGGAGAACTGGCTGCAGCTGGCTGCCTCGGGGGTAGACGGCGTGGGCGCTGCGCCAGACTCTGAGGACGAGGTCATCTCCAAGATACGTCAGCGGCGTCTCAGCCGGCGAGGTCAACTACGCTCCGACCTGGATGGCAGTCTCGCCAGCCAGGATGACGCCTACATGCCGGCCTTTGGAAGATTCACGTGTGGAGCACGAGCGTCGGAAAAGAAACAAAGAAGAAAGAAGGTGAAAGAGGACGGCGCGGACGAAGTAAAGCGTCCTAGGAGACGAAGAAGAAAGAACATTGAGGAAGGAAGTGCCGGCGAAAATAGATTAGCAACCATTGAAAATGAGTATTCGTATTCTGACGATGACGAAGACTGGGAATATGATGATGAGCCAACGGAAAAGCGTGATGATGCCGGGCATGTAACAGCTGATGCCGCAGGTGCAAGGAGGGACGGATCGGGAGGAGAAGGCGGTGCACATCCCGCTGCTGGGACGACCCCGGCCAGGCAGCCTCAGACTGGGTACGGTACGTCGCCGGCATCCTCTGCAACCGGGCCAGCCGGTACCCCCGGTCCCCAGACGTCGCCAGCTGCTGCTGGAAGACAGTACTTTACGCCTGCTGGTGGGACGTCTTTAGGCGCACGGGCTGGGCAGCAGGCCGACCAACAGGCGGACAGGCAGCAGCTGCGGCGGCCGTCGAGGCGCGCTGGGTCGGTGTCCCCGAGCGCGAGCGGTCGCGGTCGGACCTCCGTGGCCTCCGGTGGGGAGAAGACGGTGCTAAATACGTCCCGAGTGAGACCTGACATGGATGCGGCGTTCGACTCCGAGACATCAGGTCGATCGCCGCCTCCGCGCAGACAAGCGCTCAGAATGCCGCATCTGTTCGAGGTGAAGGATTATGTCTGTGAAGACTCGAAATTGCCTGGTAAGGGTCCAACCGAAAGAGGAATGAGTTTCCAAGGACCAAGGCGCGCATTGTGCATGCGGAGGGGTAGACAGGGGAGGAGGTCTGGTGACGATGCAGATGCCGATCAATACGCAGCAACATTCAAGAAGTGGTCTTCGTCAAAAATACCAGGCATTTTCTACGATTCAGGTTCCGATGATGAATACGGTGGGGATGAAGCATCAACTCTTTCTGGTACAGGAAGTAAGGTCAACATTGAACATCTCTCTGGGCATCTAAGGTCTGGTTCTCCGAGTTGGAAATCTCGGAGCCCCACAGGATCAGGTCCTTTACACGAACTTGCCATTGAGTACAGCAAAAGTTTGTTGCAGCACGAGTGGGCGCAGGACCTATTGCACGGTGCCAATCCTGATATTCTCGATCCCTGGGAGGCTGCAGAGCGTATGGTCAAACGACTTCCTAGGCATTCGTTTGAAATACAGCAAGATATTTTACACGAAGTGCGAACGATATACGAGACGTTCCCTGCTCCCGAACACCTGCATCCGATTTCGACTGGGATTTTGGCCAGTCTCTACACGGCGACGGACGACATCCCAACACTAATCATGGCCACGGACACCCTGGTACTGCTGGCCGATCAGATGGATGTCGTGATGGCCAGCATTCTCACCCTCCTGACACTGGAGAGACTGGACGTCAGGGACTGCATCGAGACGCTGCTGGAGAGACTGGGTCTCGTCGATCCTCACAAGGTGGTACTGAGAGAGGCGCTCTCGTGGGCCCCGCGAGGTAAACACAGGAATCGTGAAACGTGCCTAAAGGAAATCAACAGGAAGGCGCTAAGCTTCGTCAGCAACTGGATGCAGGCGTTCGAGGCCCATACGAAACTCATCGCTGAAGAGGTGAATAAAAGTAAGTACTCGCTATTCCACGCTTTAGAAATGTTCCGGATACGATTTAGATCTTCACGCAGATTGCTGTTCTTACTTCGCGGGCGAAAGGTAGGCATAAAGTTTATTTCAGCCCACTCTTCAACATTAAACGAAAAAACGTTTACGTTGTTAATGTTGAACTTCTCCGTTTCGGCGCGAGTAGGTTATAGGTAGGTATACATAGACCACGGAGATTAGAGGAGTCCTGGATGCCGACGTCTTACGCTAATTCCTCCCAACCTAACTCGAATTAACCCTAGAACGCCTAGGGGGGGGGGGTTGTATCAACCCCCCCCCCCCTGAGGTTTTTTCGAAGTGCACGCTAAACGGCTTGTCGTAGCGGGCTGAAATTTTCAATACCCTCTGGGGCAACCTTTGCGCATCTTTTGCCGAAAAAAAATTGATCGGGTCATGTCAGGTCACGGAGTTATGACGTCATAAGAGGTACAGCCTCCGGCCGGATTTTCACAAACTGAGTGCCAACGCCCGAGGTTTCCTGCCGGTGGTACGGACATCGGTTGATGGATCGTGATGAAACTTCCCATGCATGTTGGGGCAAGTATTGGCTATCATATGGTATAAGAAATTTGACCGGGTCAGGTCAGGTCACGGAGCTATGACGTCACAAGAGGAACAGCGTCCGGTACTATTTTTGAAAAGCGCCCGAACCACTATTTTGCTAATTCTTGTCACCTCAATGGGAATATGCAGCAATATTAGCTTCTATAGGGAGCAAATGGACCTCCCAAATCCAAAAATACAATCAGATTTCAAAAATTTAAATTTTGATTTTTCGAATTTCTGCCGCCGACTGTGACCTTGCCGACTTCCGGCGCTCCCAACGCGCCATTTTTAGAGCTAGGGAAACGAAATACATACCAAACGATAGAGAATTGATCAAGGAACACGATAGTGAAGGTTTCAAGTCGATATCTCCCACCGTGTTACCGCAATCGCCGCCGAAAGTTGAAAAAATTCTATTTTTCCGAAAATTTGACCTTTGACCGGTCAAAAGTAGGTCAAATGTTGACCTAGGACCAAAAAATATACCACCAATCGCGAGATCTCGTTGAGAGCAATCCGTTGGTCTTTTCCGCTAAGCTCTACGACCTTCCGTTTCGAAACGCCAGGGGGGGGTCGTAACAACCCCCCCCCCCCTGGTCGTTCGTGTTATGAGAAATGGCCTGGTCGTGCGAGGGTTAAGAGATAAATAAATAGCATCGGACCTTGCGCCATAAATAAGCCTGCAGAATGCAATTAAAAAAATCATGTCCTTACCTAATCAACCATGCATGTGGGAGCCATGTGATGCTGCAATGGACAATTCTTTATTTTTGTTTTAGACATCATTGCATTGCAGGAAAAATGGACGCCGTTGTGAAATATAACATCATCAAGATACTGAAGAACTACGAACCTCTCGCGATCGAAGAGACTGATGAGGGCATCAATGTCAACCTCCGAGAACCATCCAGCTCCAGTCGGCTGAAAAATCCCGAGGTTCGAGCTAGCAATACGGGCATTACGTTTTTCTTTGTAACATCACTTTAAGTTTACCGTCAAGTCTGCTGGCAATCCACCTACGTTCTCGCTATATCAGTGTATGACCTCGTCCTCATCGGCTAACTAGTTAACCCGCGCCCGGCTGGGGGTCCTGGATTTCCACGCCCTGCTGGGGGGGGGGGGGTGTTTGAACACCCCCCTTGTAACTCGGCTCCTGGGCCACGTAGCGATACGCGGAAGGCGGCGTTCGAAAGAGCGTCAAAAATAATGACGAAATCACTTCGGTCAATTTTTTGGTCAGGTCAAAGGTCAGGTCACCAGAGGTCATTGAAGGCAAAATTTCGCCGATTTCCAGGTCGAATGTCGAAAATTTCCAAGAAGCTAACGCATAACTCGGGAACCAATAGAGCTACAGCGCCGCGGAAAAGCGCATTCGATAGCCCTATTAACGCCCTTTCTGAGTAATTCTCTCAGATTTGACCTAACGTCAACGGTTTTGCCTGCAGGGGGCAAAAACTGCAAAAATAGCCGATTTTTTCGGAAACAGTTTTTCTGCAATAACTTTTGACCCAAGCCTTGTACGAGCTTACTTTTACCGGCATCGTGTTCCTCTCGTCAAGACGCATCGAATGAACTATAACTTGACCTTGAAAGGTCAACTTGAAAATTTGACCTCAGGTCAAGGTCATGACCTGACCGGAAAGGGTCATGTTGCATATCAGTCGATCCGTATAGTCGAGCTGAACACATATAAGGCGTTTTCATCGCTCTAGCATGCCTCTATCAAAAGTTATTTGCGAAAAACTGTTAGATACCATTCGTGACCTAAGATGACCTCAGGGCACAAACAAGGGTCACGGACACCATTTTCATGTTCAGTGTGTCTAAACCACTTGTAATTCGGTGTTTGGGAGTGTTTATAATGTCTTTCGTCCAAAAGAGGCGCATTTCAATTTTCTCCCATTGACTTATAATGGGGAGGTCGCAAAATTGACCTGACCTTAGGTCATCGATATCAAAATTCTGAGATATACATTTTGTACATGCTATTGCTCTCAGCAATCGCTGAAAGTTTCAAAGCGGTCGGTCACTCGGTGTAGCTATGACAGACATTGAAACTTTTTATGAGGTGAGGTCACTTCAAGTGACCTGGTGACCTGACCTTGAATGACCTTGGTCTGAAATTTTCACAACATGTGTAGAATTGATGTATGATAAGGTGTACCAAAAACGGCGGCGCTCCGCGCCGCCGTTTTTGAGATATTCGCGAAAAACCACAAGGGGGGGTGTTCAAACACCCCCCCCAGCAGGGCGCGGGTTAATCGGTTAGTTATCGTTTGGTAACATCCCCTGAATGTCTACCAGGTGATCGAGGTGCTCAACTACTTCGTCGAGATGACTGATGACGAGGACGAGCTGGGTCAGGCTCGCGGGGAGAGCGGTCGGTTCGCCGGCAGACTGGAGGTCAGCGACCCGCTGGAGTGGCGGCGCAACAATAAGGATATCCTGGTGCCGCCGTCTCCTTCACCAGTTGCAGTGGTGCAGGTGGGTGTCCGTCACCACTGGCGTAGATGCAGGCCTGTAGTGGCTGTGTTCAGTCGGCCCTCAGGTGGAAGTGGGTTTCCCCATCTTACCTACATGCGAGAGTACGGTGGGGAAGTAAGAGGAAGTAAGATGTTTACTTCTCATCGTCGATTTCCGGTTCCGGATTTCCGACTAGCCGGCACCCGTGATTGATTGCCGTGTCTGCCCTGGCTGCCAACAAGCGAGACCGTTGTAACAACAGTGTGTTGTCGCCGCTCCGTTTGACATCTGTTTGATATTCTCTTGCCTTGTTTGTCTGCGATCTGTTGTCCGACTAGTCCCTTGTTGACTGTTTAACTGTTGACTGTTTACCTACCAGCTCCGTCGACCGCTCGTCTGACCTGACCTCACCTCTCACAGGGGAACCGTTCGCTGGCGTCTGGCGTGCTGCGTCCCACCGCCCTGGTCACCCACTGGCAGGGTGTGCCCGGCCTGGCCCCGGGTCCGTGGCCCACCGTCACCGTCGGCATTCGACTGAGAATTGCCGACAAATACTACCGGGGCCTTCCGGCGCCCGGTGCACCGATGGAGTTCCACTAGGGGAGCGCAGACGGACCGGTCCGTCTCCTTCCGTGGATAGTAGCGCACAGTGGATCGGACGCTAACCGACACCTCTCAGCTGGGCCTAATACCCATATTGACATCGTTACGTGCTCAAGGCCCTCGCATGCTGATCAGAGACGGGAGACGTTAAGTCATCAGTGGGGAAATTGGGAGCTCTCGTTGTTTATAATGAAATTGGAGTCGGAGATGACCTGGGTAACGGAAATCATCTTCATGAAACCAGCGTGACCAGAGAGATTTTTGGGATAATGATAATGATATGAACGGTAATGATGGCAAAACGGGTCGGAAACAGACTGTGGTAAAAGCTGTCTCTGAATATCACAGCCGTTGGTGCATGTCATTGTCTGATTCGATTTATTAGATTGAAAGGACCACTTCGGCCCCAAAATATGTCATCCAAGCGGTGAGTTGAGACACAGGAGGTAAGAGTACAGCTGATTGATGCGTCATAACATGTAATGATAGATATTGCCTGGAACTGGCAGCATTTGTTTGTTATAAAGTAACAATTAAGTGCTGTTATACATATTTAAAATAATGGAAAGTAGGGAGCTTCAACTCAATTAAAGCGAAAACTGAGAGCACGGATGGCTGTAATAAAAATTAATTTTGCACTTTCTTCCTTTCAAATGATAACAGCCTCTGCATCATACCTATGCTAAGGTAACATTTATAAATGGGCCGTTTAATTTCGGAGCGAGCTGCAATTCGGCAGTAACACTTTGCATCACGATCGCACTACTCAGAAAAGCAGAGCGAAAAATGTATTAATACTCTTGATGCAGTGATATTTTCACAGCTCGATTAAACGTCCAAACCAATCCGAGATGAAAAGTTATTTGGCATAATTACGAGTGAGCGAGCGCAGCGAGCGAAGCGAAGTCTTTTCAATATAACGGAAAAATCTCAGTATGAGCGGACCGGCCCGGCCCGGCCCGGCCTGTAACGCTTTTGAGAGGCTTATATCTCAGCAACCGCTGGACCGAATGGCCTGCGGTCTTTTTTGCTGGGTAGCCCCATCCCTTCTACCCCGTAATTGACTACTTTTGATACATCTCAGTGACCGCCGTGGCACGTGCCCGGTGCCACGTGAAAAGTCAAGGGTGTTCAAGCAGTTTTGCAAAAGTAATGATTTTGAGAGGCCCATATCTCAGCAGCGGCTTGAGCGATTGTCTTGCGGTCATTTTTATAGGGATAGCTGCATCCCTTCTACCAAAGGTCGGATGCTCTTCATCTATGTGAGTGACCCCCACTGCACGTGCAAAATACAACAATAAGAGGTACCAAATTTGTTCCCATTTCAGTAACTCGGTAATTACTGGGGCGATTTCGCTGAAACTTGGCATACAGGTATAGGCACCCACCAGGCAATGCATTCCCATGTGTTGCGGTTAGGGTGCTACTGCACGTGCGCACGTGCAGGGGGCGTTTCCAGATCTCGAGAACGGCTGGGCCGATTGCGCTCAAATTTGGTACACGGTTGGGGACCGGTTAGTAGGGTGCCGTGCAAAAGTCATTTTGGACCCCGTTTGCACGTGCGCACGTGCAGAATGCCGCTTCCAGATCTCAGGAACGGCTGTGCCGATTGCGTTCAAATTTGGTACACCGCTAGCAACCGGTTAGAAGGGTGCTTTGCACAAGCCCGTTGGAAGTACCCTCTCGCCCTTCTGCACGTGCAGGGCTCACTATCTCGCTCGCTCGTTCTTCGCCCAAAAGGCGTTTTACTGGTACTTACGGTACTTATGTCTTACGAAGCACGATGACGAGAATGTAGGACGCACATCTCCATACAATCTACCAAGACGTATTTCCATCAATTACATACTGGAAATAGGCGAATAAGCACATAAAAAGACGCTTTATTGAGCTAAGAGATCATGTGCTGCATGTCAGCCCAATACAAATATCAATAGGTATCAGTCACTGCACGCCGAAATGTGATTGGCAGATAACATAAGTGACATAATGCCATCGCGACCTTTGTGGCTTTTCTTGGTGCGTCAACATCGTAACATCACAGTAACGTCAACAATGAAGTCACCAAAACGACAGCTATGAGCTTGGCAGCGGCGATGTCGACTCTGGGCGCCGATGAGACATTACACGCGTCGCCTGTGCAGCAAAAGAAGCAGTCGAACTTTGGACGAGAGGTGTCGCAGCGGTCGAGTCCCAGCGCCGTGGTGGCGCCACTGTCGAGGAAACATCGGCCCAGAGTGCAGCCCTTGATGATCCGCATAGGGCCGTCATCTGCCGACAGCGAGAGAAAAGTGAGAGTCGGGAGGGGCACCCAACTATCGAATAAAAGTAAAATGCATTAACGATATACAATAAGATAAAATTCATTTTCCAAATTCCAGAGGTAAATGATTCCATAAAGACCGTGAGTCAGAGTAAGATCAACAGCCCAAAAGCACAATTAGTTTCATTTGGAGCGCACACTGGGTACCTTGTTTTTGTAGGGTGGTGCTACATCGGTCGTAAGCCTGATCGGTGGGACAGGGCTGTGGCGGGCCACATTGGCTGTTTTCGGTCACATTACACTGGTAGCAGGACAGGCCGGCCTCGGACGTCACAGCGGCGGCGGCACGGGCGCCACCTGGCGGCAGGTCAACGATGACGTCACTTCGAACGTGTCGTTATTGCTTTACTCAATGTTATTGCTCTCCTTAATATAAACAAGCAATGTGAAATAAAATGTCAGTTTGCTCAAACCATCCTCTTATTGCGCGGCTGCCCACCCCACGGTTTACCACCCAGCCCCACAACAAAACCGTTTACACTTTACATCCATTAGAGCGAGGCCCCGTGATTCCCATTAGGGATAACTAGGACGCATTATGTCCACGGTGTGCCGTGACCCGTGTTGCCGTGCTGAGCATCGTGACGGGAGCGTGTCGTGGCCGTCGGTAATGTCATTCGTCGGGAGGAGCGCGCTGCCACTCCGCCCGGGCGGAGGGTGGGGACGGGGATCGATAGCACCGGTCGTCACCGGAGGTCCGAGCTGGAGCGGTCCGGTCGGGGGTCTCTGGAGCTGGAGCGACCAGGTCGGGGGTCTCTGAGCTGGAGCAGCCCGGTCGGGGGGTCTCTGGAGCTGGTGCAGCGCAGTTAGTAGCGGCCGGAGCTGGCGCAGCTCAATTATCATGGCAGCTGCAGATGGTACAGCTCAGTCTGAGCTGGCGTGACTCAACAACAAACTGTTCAATTTACATATGAAACTGATTAAAATGAAAGGCTTAGTCGCACATTCGCTGCAATGTGTGCAGTTGTTTTAACGCTTGCACTCGTATAGGTATGTGGCGAATGGTGTCCGTAAAAACGGCTGATATTGGCGAAACTTTCAGTGCCCTAGTCATAACAAATTTTAGGCGAACTCTTGAAGTTTTTTTTTTTTATAAATATGACTCGAATGACCTTTGGCCTGCATAATGCTTCCCGATAATGGTTTAAGTAAGATGGCCTTGATAAAATGGCATTCACGCATCTCTACCAAAATCTTAGCACTAATTTAAGACATTTAAATTCAATTGAAATCGTTATGTAAGTTTTGAAGTGATATGAAAATATACATTAAATCTAAATCTAACTAGGTACCTATCGATTTAAAATTGGATGCAGCGCTAGAAGACAGCAATCTGCATATTATTTCTGCCTACCTGCGAATGCTATAGCAGAAGGGCAACCGTCGCCAGCGCCGGCAGCAGTGCAGGGCACCGGAGTGCAGGGTCACTTGCCTGCCTGCGGAGGCTAGGAGAAGAATGACCGTCACCAGCAGTACGCCCCCCCCCCCCACAGAATGAAAGGTTGTAGCCGCAGCTTACCTGTGAGGACCAGCAGCAGGGCGACCGTCTGCAGCAGCGCGGCCGAGCCGCCACGGTCCATCTCGCCGGCTGGCGTCGACCCCGTCGTCAGCACCGGCCGACGAAGGCTGACCCCCCCCCCTCCACCCCTCCCCCACCGGAGGCCGCACGCGCAGAACGTGTCTGCATGACTGGTGAGTGGAGATGCAACTTTGCTTCCCGAAACAGAAGTGTATGAAGACAACGCAGCGCTTCTAGCACACAATAAACAGCGAATGTTTAGACATAACACATGAAGCAGATGCTGTAACTATCATCAGGGACAAAGCGAGCAAAGCGACTTCAGAGCTGACTGAAAATTTCACAGCTCACTGCCGCTGAGTGAAGCGAGCAGACAGACTCGCTCGCATGGCCGGCACTGGCAGCGGTCCTGCCACAGGCCGCTGGACATGCCGTTAGGAGCTGCGGCGGCTGAGCGACGCCGTTATTTCCCCGTCGGCGGGTCGCGTCGGCATCGACATTCGAGTGTTTTTCAGTGCAGTGGTCCGAGCTAAGTAGTCGCGATCGAAGCACTCAGCCCAATTAACTGCGATAAGGCGACAGAAAATAATATCAAAACTTCTTGATGAGCTTCCTGCAGAGCCACAGGCATAATCTGTAAATTAATTTCGCTGAGTCCTAGGGTCAAGCCCGATTAGGGTTTGTCCCCTACCCAACCCCCAGGGTTTGTCTGCGAGTGTTTTTCGTGTTTGTGGAAGTGTGCTTTACCACAAACCCTTGCCGTACCTACCCCGTAAACAAAGAAAGCTACGGAAACAAAAGCGGCGCCAAACGAGAGGTCTCAATTCGACGATCGTAAAGAATATAAGCATTTTTATCATGTTGCTAAACTCTATACTCCATATTGACGCAGAAACTCATAGGAAAATATGTCGAATACATCGCCAAAAGGATACACTAAGCGTGTCCTGAGCTTTAAATCGAAGGTCATTTTGTTTTGTTTGGTTTGGAATATATGAGATAATGCTGCCACAAGGTCGGTGACTCGGTATTACTATAACCTCTGTCAGAACGGTATAACTATCAGACTCACACCTGTATGAATTTTAACTGGCGCCGTGAATTTGCAGGTGCGCGTACCTCTATGAGGGCCGACGGAGGAGGGTTGAGGAGGAAGGAGGGCTGGCAGTGGAGGCGGGGGAGGGGAGGGAGGCAGTGGAGCCCGGCGGCACACCTGCCCCCCGGCCTCACCTGGCCGGAGGCTGCCGACGCCGGCGGCGACCGGCTTCCTGCCGGCGGCTCCTTGAGTGTGACGGCGCCGAACAAAGGGCAGGTGTGGGGTCACATAGGTGAATCCAACTGTTGAAACCGCCAGCCATGTCACCACCTGGGCCGCCGGCGCCCGGCGGCACCAACTGGAGCGCAGCGCGCCGCCCCCGCCCCCGACGCCGCCCCCGCCCCCAGCCACCTGTGCGTCGCGCGGTGTCGCGATGCGAGACTCATTCATTCGCGGGACACGGCACACCGGGCGGACTTTGGGGAGGGGGAGGGTAGAGTGGCTGGGGGTGGTGCATTGCAGTGTCACCGCTAACTCAACAGGGATGGTGACATATACGGAGCCTATTATCACTGTAAAAGGCCGTTACACATTTGCGTACTTAACATCACAACACTGGCTCTAGTGCCTATAAACATTTCACTACAACTACAACGCGAGGATGTGGGCATAAGACAGTCCTTGGCGGCTTCTTTGAGTTACCCATATGTCACATAATTACCTATAAGCTTGCGGTACAGGCGACATCAACTATAGAAGAAAAAAAAAACTTACAAATAAACGGAGCGACGAAAACAACCCGAATCTATTTACGACGCAACTATCTATGTCCATCCGAGGTTTTCTTTAGTGCGACCGTGATAAATGGCAATGTAGGTAATTAACTAATCAAGCTCCGTTTACCTCTCGCTGGAGATGGCTCTCCAGTGTGCACCTGCAGGGGTGGATGAACTCAGCCCGTGTCCCGGCTCCCTCTCATCCAGCTATAGCCAGTGTTGCATTAAATTGCTGAATATAGGACAGGTGGCGGGCGTTATGGTCCACCAATCGTATTAATCATTGGCAAAACTCCGTCCACAGAAAACGATGTAAGCGGTATTAGCAGAAAGGTGCTGAGCTGGCATGTGGAAATCGACATACAGATCTTCTATAAATTATACAATATACAGTTCAGTGTGTTGACGTTGGCTGTCCCCTGAAAAAGTCTGCTTTGATATCACATCAACCAAACATAATCAGCAATGCGCGGGAGACTTCTTCCAGGCCCTGTAGACTATATATTTCGCTCTTCGAGCTAGACAGTATGTTAAAAATGAACAGCTTATGTATGTACAAACAAACATCACGCATGTTTTTCTTTCTGGCGCTGATCTGAGACTAGTTGGATATCAATGTCAGCCGGTTTCATGTGGCGCAGCCCGAGTGGCACACCCGCTGGCTCGTAACAAGCTGCATCAAAGACAGCTTTTTACCTCCTGAATCGAAAGTGGCTTTCAGCCATTACGCCAGTGTCAAGGTAAGGCCTACTCAGACCGGTGGCACGGGCAGGCGGTTAGAAGGCTGCACTGTCGAGGGTCTGTCTCCACAGCTGGCGGCGGCTGACCCCAGGCCAGCCCGGTGAAGAAGTGGCGACCCCATTACCACTCAGTACCTGGTATCTAAACCGACCTCCGAGCGAAAGTGGATCCCTATAGTCCGTCTATTGGTGCACTTCTCCGACCCAGCGTATGTCCCCACCCACTGACCTCAAAACCGGGAGCCGGGCCGAGCGCAGAAACCAGATCAGAGTACGAATGGCTGGTGACACCTGATCCAAAAAACGTCGAAGATAAGCACATTCCAAATTCAATGCGGCTACTTCATGTCGTTTATTTATTCTTTATTATCCTACCAGTGCTAGACAGATAGATTATCCATGCAGATATTTCGCGGAGATCACTCACTCTTATCTGTTGTGTTCGGGTATAGGGGGTGTGTACTTGGACCGCCTCTGCGGCCCCACCTCTGTGTGCCTGGGAGCGCCCCTGCCGACGCTCAGCTGATCGTGCGCGCCAAGCGGCATGACTGGCGCGGGCGACTAGGCGTGGCGCTGGCCATACTTGTTTAGTTTTGGAGGACTCTCTCGGCCCATTCGCACCGGCAGTAAATAAATCGCGTTTCTCTTAAGCTCTCTCTCACTCGAACCGTGAATCACGAACATAACATGGCGCGGTCAGTAGATGGTTCCGTGCGTGCGCGCAGTGATCGGTGTATCAGTGTATCAGTAATTAGTGTATAGCGCGCCGTGATCTGTGACGATGAGTGACATTGAGAAACTGACGCAGCTGCTCCTGCAGCAGGCGGAGCTGTCGGCGCAGCGGGAGCGAGACTCAGCGCAGCGCGAGGAGCGGCTCACTCAGATGGTGGAGCGACTGGTCGCCGACCGACAGCCACCCGCTACCGTCGCTGCCGACGATGCCTCGGCGGCGACAGCCGCCCGGACGTCGGCTGCCGCCCCGCCCGTGCGCCTGCCTGCTGCTGCAACGCCGGCGCCTCATCTGTCGTCCTCCACATCCCTGCGCGACTTCGCTGTATGGAGGGAGAAGCTGGACGGGTACATGCTTCTGACCGGCGCGTCCGCGCTGCCCGTCACTGCCCAGAGAGCTGCCCTTCTCAGTCTTCTCGACGAAGATTGGCACCGGGTGCTGCGCTATGGACTGACGATAGCGGACGACTCTCCCCTCTCCGCGGTGGTAGACGCCATGGAGAGTCATCTCCGTAAGCAGCGCAGTGTCCTGGTCGACCGCCGTGCGTTCTACGCCCGTGTCCAGGAGCAGGGCGAGAATTTTGAGGAGTTTCTGTGCGAAGTGAAGGAACTCGCGGCATTTTGCGACTTTTGCACACACTGTTACGACTCACGCCTGCGTGACAAGATTGTGTGTGGCCTGCGGGACGAGGAGACGGTGAAGCGTCTGTTGGAGGATCCGGGGCTGGACCTCAAGAAGACGGTGGACATCTGCCGTGCGTCAGAGAACGCCCGGGCTACCTGCTCCGACCTCCGCTCACCGACGGCGTCAGTGAGCCGTCTGTCGGCATACCGCCGTTCAAGGTCGCGCGATGCGCGCCCCGCGGCCCAACCCGGCGGGCGTTCCGCGGGTACGGCCGGCGTGCGCCGCCCCCAGGCGCGCCCCGCGGCCCAACCTGGCGGGCGCTCCGCGGGCGCGGCCGGCGCGCGCTGCTGCCGCTGCGGGCGGGCCGCCCACGCAGACCCGGCGGCGTGCCGCGCTACTAGCGCCATCTGCAACTCGTGTGGCCAGCGCGGCCACTTTGCAGTGGTGTGCGCCCAGGTGGCGCGCGAGAGCGCCGCTGCCCCCGCCGAGCGCGCAGCACCGGAGCGCGCGCGGCCCGCGGTGGGGCAGCCGTCAGAGCCGCGCATCTGCCGTGTCATCAGAGACGTCTACGTGAACGGCATCTCGACGCGGCCGACTCCCACTGTGACTGTCCGACTGTCTACGCCGGCTGGTGTGTTCACCGTGCCGGCCCGGGCCGACTCCGGCGCCGAGGCGACAGTCATCGGCGAAGACAGCCTGTCTTCCATCTGCGTGGAACCAGCGCAGTTGGAGCCCTGCATCGGCCAGCCATTTTCAGCAGTAGGGAAACAGCCGCTCACCTGTGTCGGGTCGTTCCGGGCTACTCTGGAGCTGGGCGACCGATCGACCACCGCTGCCGTGTTCGTCATCAGGGAGCTGACTGGCCTGCTACTCAGCTGGTTCGACTGTGTGGCGCTGGGGATTCTGCCGAGGGATTTTCCGGCACAGATCCGGTCCGTCGAGGACGCACCGCGCCCTGCTGATGACGTCACGGTCTCTGTTGACGTCACATCCGCTGGTGACGTCACACCCTCTAATGACGTCACACCGTCTGCACCGCCGGCCGCTGCCGGCTCCGCTCGTAGCGCCAGCGGCCGCTCGGCCCCGTATGAGGAGCCGCGTGACAGGCCCTGTCCGGCCACCGGGACCGAGACGGGCGCGCCGGCGCCGCCGGCCGATGGACC